CCTGCAACGGTTTCACGTAATGGTATGGTGTACATGAGTTCGTCTGGTTTGGATTGGCAGCCAATTGTCCAGGTAAATATTATGTGTTTACTCTATTTTGTTGGTAATGGATTAATCCGAGACCAATAGCCATCTCACCGAGCCATATGGTGCGTGTTTTTTTTTTTTTTTTTTTTGTGGCTACTCCCGTCGCATAAGACGCAGAGACACTATGTTACAAGGTGTGGACGAACGGTTTTCTGCATAAGTCCGAACACGTATCGGCTGAATTTCGGAATTATTTAGTCGGTCATTAATTATGATGATCACTGATGCTATTATGCTCTGAATCTTACGTTTCTTACGTAAACTTTACAACCGTTACGTTTTTCTTACGTTGTTTGTTTGTCGCAGGCGTGGATCAACAAGCGACCTCCAGCTGAGGGAGAAATACTAAAAAACTGTTTCGATAAGTCATTCGAGCAGACACTTACCTTCGTCCGTGAGGGACTGGTGTGCAAGATGGATATCCTAGACCATAATTTCATCATGCAGGTACGTTTTCAGTCTTTTCGTTTCGTTTGTATTCCTACATCTTCTTCATTATTTATATCATATCAAGCCAACGATATTCATTTATATATTCATATATCAAAAATACGTAAAATTATTCATTAATCGAATGGAATCGTATGGAATGCTCTATTCATGCATATTGCCAATTGTTTAGCAGCCATATATTGTAATATTACCTTATTTGGGAGTACGTGTAGACTTGTTTTCGTCGGTTTTTAAAATAGTTTGAAACTTGCGAAAAGATGTTTGAACATTCGGCCATMTTGTTTGATTCCTTATATGGCAWAGATTSGGTGAAGGAAGMCCACAACTAACAGGCACAAGGATCCCRGAATTGATATGTTTTGTATTTGTAGGCTATAACGTTGTTAGATGGATTAATACCCAAGAAAGACGATGGTGGACAAATCTCTTCGTCCCATCTSGAACATCTTTACGTGTTTTCRCTTATGTGGAGTCTTGGTGCCTTGCTTGAACTTGACGATCGGTTTAAAATGGAACAGTTTATGAAGGAGCAGTTTGATCACGACTTGCCGCCCATTGAAGAAGGACAAAATATGTTTGAGTTTCTTGTTAACGATTCTGGTGAGGAATGTGATTAAGGAATTGATTGATTGATTGATTGAAGGAATTTAATGATTGATTGATTGATTGACGGATAGGTTTACTAAAAATCAATGGTTGCTATGTTGATGTTATAACTATTGGCTGATTGATTAGCGTGATTGATTGATTGACTGGTAGATTGATTGATAGGTTGATTGATTGATTGATTGATTGATTGATAGGTTGATTGATTGATTGCTTGATTGACTGGTTGATTGATTGATTGACTGGTAGATTGATTGGTAGATTGATTGATAGGTTGATTGATTGATAGGTTGATTGATTGATTGGTTGATTGATTGATTGGTTGGTTGTTTGAACGGTCGTTGCATTGGTGAATCGGTTGATTGACTGGTCTATTGTTTTAGTAGCTAGTACTTTAATTGATGTGGTATCCTGTTACAGGTGAATGGGCCCACTGGAACACAAAGGTGGAAGAGTACGTGTACCCTAAAGATCATGTCCCTGACTTCCTGTCAATTTTGGTCCCCAACGTAGACAACGTGTGTATGGACTACCTCATAGAAACCGTTGCTAAGCAATCTAAGGTAAACTTGACTTCGTCAGTAAGAATGAAAAAGTTAGCATTATTTGAAATAAAGGAAAAAAGAAATATCGTTAAAAGAGAAGAAAAAAACTAACTAAACTAGTGGTGACTTCGTCGGTCGTTCTAATAAAATAGTTCTGATAAATGTTTGTCTAGATCGTAATTAATGTACAGTTTTTATGTGGATTTTCCGTGCAATTAAAGCATGGGTTGGCATGTTTACTATTGTTACCATCTTTTTCTCATACCGAAAGCTATTCCGTTGCTTACCTTACTTAAAATAAAACTCAATCTTGGACAAATGAAAAGGCATGTAAAAAGAATAAAATTATGTGTCATTTCCTCAGGCGGCCCTGCTCATCGGAGAACAAGGCACAGCCAAAACTGTGATGATCAAAGGTCACATGAGCAAGTACGATCCTGAAAAACACCTTAGCAAAAGCTTCAACTTCTCGTCGGCGTCAACACCGCTGYTGTTTCAACGAACGATAGAAAGTTACGTGGACAAGAGAATGGGAAGCACKTATGGWCCCCCAGCAGGGAAGAGAATGACTGTATTTGTGGATGAYATCAATATGCCGATCATTAACGAGTGGGGTGATCAGGTAAAGGCATTGATAAATTAAAGTGATTATGATTGGTTAAGCAAAATGGCCTAATATGGTATGATAATGATGAATAAAAGATGAGCACGCTTACGAAGAATAGGTAAAACTCGAGAGAAGTGTTAGATAAACTAGAAACGTTGTTTTACTTCTCAAATTTAT